GGCACGTCGCAAAATCCTCTGACTCGGGCGCAAAAAACCAACAGTGATCGGAAGTCGCCCGAGGCGATGCAAGGTTGCATGAAGCGAATCGAAGTACCTCTCTATATTGTTTTCCTTGCCCAACTTCGATCAACTTTGCGAGTAGTGTAGAGGGTCCATAAGAATGAGCTTTGGTAGCAAAACATTTCTTATAGTTTCATTTGGTTTGAAATCAATCAATAATTATTCGATATTTTTGCAATTAAATATCGAGGACTATAGGAAAAATATTTTCTTCGTAATATAATGTGACGTTTACAGCATAATTTATGGCATCGTAAATTGTAAACATTTCATGTTCCCTCTCAGTTTCAGTGCCTTACAGAAATAAACAAATTAAATGCTTGTTGCATTAATTTGTTTATTTTTGAAGAATTTTTCATTTTTCATTTTTGTAATTTTTAGTATTTTTATTAGATATGCAAATTTATTCCACAATGCCCATTTTTTATAGAATTTATAATTATAAAATTATATGAATATATTAATTAAACAAAGTCCACCTGATGGTAATTGGATGCTGTGGCCCAAAGACATCTACATTTATCTTCTATTAAGAATCAAAATGCGGCAGTTGTCACCCCTGAGGACTAAGATGGAATGCTTCGTTTGCTGTAAAAATGGTCTCCGGTTTTGTACACTCACCATACGAAGCACAACAGCAGTATTCTTCTATTATTATGCTATTATAGTATTCACAAACAGTACTTTCTTAAGTATAGGCGCAAAGCTTTAAGTAAATTTCACAGTGTATTCGGTATAACAAGCTATTCATTTCATGAACAATGCTCAAGGGACTCATTGTTGTGAGTAAGCATAGCATTGAATGGACTGCTGTGGTTGGTATTCTCTGATGCGACTTCTTTTGGAGTTGACTGACGAAAAAACAAAATTCAAATGGTCAAAAACAAGGTAGTTAAATGTGTAATTGAATTATCTCTTAACAACCCGTGCTTAAACGTAGTGAATATATAAAAATCTATGCATAGTAATTCATACTAGTGGTTTCAAATTCGAACGTAATTTCTTAGATTATTGAGAAGTCATCGCGCGCTCTGACTAGATACCGCCTGCGCTCTTATAAAATGCGGCAACAAATACTACGCCGAAATCGGCGTACCCGAGCCAGTCGCGTTGCAGGCAACGTAACACGTTGTTACGGTGGACGTATCGAATGTTTTATTAAATTTTGATCATAATCCGAAGTAAAATACCAGTTAACGTAGTGAAACTATGTAAAAATAATACTACAAGAAATAAGAAAGACACTGGGATCACATACTATCAGTAAGTATCATAAAATTTCGAAATTTCAACATAAAATAACACGTGTCATAAATAAGTCACAAAATATGAATGACGCCATTGAGTGTTAAGATTTTTATATGTGAATTTATTGTTACTATATTTTATAATATAATATATTTAACTTATTATAATATAACCTAATTCTGTATTATTTAATGTTTATTTTTGTAGTATTGCTCAAGTGACTTAATTTCCGTTTATTAGGGTTCCGTACCCAAAAAGTATCAACGGGATCCAAGTCTCCACTATCGTTCCGTCTGTCTGTCAGTAGGCTGTATCTTATGAACCATAATATGTAGATATTTGTAATTTTCACAGAATATGCTGCTATAACAACATAAAATAAAATAAAATATTAAAGAACTCTAAAAATCAGTTTTATTGTATGAAGGCCAACAACAAACGTGATTTTTTTCTGTATTGATATGTGTTTTGTTTACAGACTGTAGCGAAACCTGGATTAACATGCAATAAAATGATTCTGTGTGTATGGTGGGATTGAAAGGTTATCGTTTATCATGAGCTTTTACCGCCGGGTAAAATCGATTCAGATCTTAACTACCAACAAATAATACGACAAGCAAGAAATAGAAAAAGAAAACGGCCGGCATTGATAATCATAAAAGGAGTGGCCTTTCATCATGATAACGCCAGATCACTAGATAAGCTATCTGTTTGAGACTATCAATACACACTAACATTCCTTAAATTCCAGTATTAGCTTGAGTACTTAAAAGTGGTTTTTAAAATTTTTAATCATTATTTTATTTTGTTGCTTGTATTCTTTAAAAGAAAGCTTTCTGGAGGTTTTAATATTTAAGTTTATAATAAATTGTTTCGCTTGTTCTAAATAATTAAGAATATTATTATTTTTTTACAGCATCAGAAACTGGCGAGTGCTGACTGATGTCAAAAGAGCCCTAAGGATTTCGATCTCACAAACCCGTGATGGAAACAGCCTGATCATCAAGGTCGAGGTCAACGGAAAGCCGTGTAAACTGACCATAGACACTGGAGCCTCTCGTACGGTTGTCAGTTCCCAACTTATAAATCAGTTTCTTGGGGACTCCGCATACAACGGCGAATGCATTAGTTTGGTGACAGCCACCGGTCAGCGCATATCCGTCTGTGGAGAGAAGGAGATGGAGTTGAAGCTAGGCAACATGATTTACCTGCATAATGTCATCGTGGCTGATATAATGGACGACTGCATCCTGGGCCTAGACTTTATGAGGAAGAATTGTTGTGAGATCGACGTTAAGCAAGGTGTTTTGAAATGTGGACAAGAGGAACTTTTCATGGAAGGGGCGTTACCAGGGAATGTGTACAGCCTTAAGAAGATTGATCTTCCGCCGAGATCGGAAACGATTGTGCCGGTTAGACTTCCACGGAATCCTGGGCAAACTCTTCGTTGTGTACTCGTGCAAAGGGTAGACAATGACCTTCCATGGAAAGTGGCTCGAACCTTAGTCAGAACCGCCGACATCTCAGGAGTACGTGTGCCTAACCTTTGTGATCAGGAACAGATTATAGTAAAAGGCACATTAGTTGGTACTAGTGAGGAAGTGGATTGGTTGCGTCAGTGCCAATATCTATCGACTGGGACCCCCAGCAAGGATGGACAAACGAGAGTCACCACACTTTTAGAAGACTTTCACAGCGTTCTCTCCCCGAATGAAATGGTCAAGGCGAAGAAGTTGTTACTCAAGTACGCTGATGTTTTCTCGTCAAACGATGCTGACATAGGATAGACTGGCTTAGTTCAACACAAAATAAACACAACGGAAGAATTACCTATCTGTCAGCGGCCAAAAAGATTGCCTGTAGCACGTGAAAAGGAAGTGGAAACTATGATAAAGAGAATGGTGAAGGATGATGTTATTGAACCTTCATCTAGTCCATGGTGTTCACCTGTGGTGCTGGTAAAGAAGAAGGACGGCAGCATGTGGTTTTGTGTTGACTACCGCCGTCTAAACAACGTTACGTAGAAGGACAGCTATCCCTTGCCAAGAATTGATGACACGCTGGACATGCTTACAGGTGTAAAGTGGTTTAGTACGCTGGACCTGAAAAGTGGCTACTGGTAGGTTGAAATTGACCCTAAGAACGAGAAGAAAACTACATTCTCCACAGGAAAGGGTCTGTGGCAATTTAAAGTCATGCCGTTTGGATTGTGCAATGCTCCAGCAACGATTGAAAGGTTGATGGAGTTTGTACTTACCGGGCTAATTGGAGATACCTGTCTGGTCTACTTGGATGACATCATCATCGTAGGCCGTACGTTTGAGAAACACCTTCAAAACCTGGAACGCGTACTCAACTCAACTCAACCTCAAGTTGAGTCCGAAAAAATGCTCACTATTGAAACGGCAAGTTAGCTTTTTGGGGTATGTAGTGTCGGAATAACGTATCCGCACGGATCCAGAGAAAATTGCCGCTGTCAAGGATTGGCCGGTTCCAAAATACAAGACACAGGTTAAAGCGTTTTTGGGTTGGTGCTCTTATTATCGGTGATTTGTGAAGAACTTTGCAGATATAGCGCAACCTCTAAACAAAATAACCGAGGAGAAGCGACATTTCTGATGGGATGAAAGTTGCGATATTGCATTCCAGGAGCTCAAGAACCGTCTGTGCAAAACACCCATTTTGGGGTACCCTGATGTGGGCAAGGAATATATAGTTGACACAGACGCAAGTGATATAAGACTTGGCGTTGTGTTATCTCAACGAAATGGTGATCAAAAGATTGTGATAGCCTACTTCAGCAAAGTTGTCAACGTTGTCAAAGCCAGAAAGGAACTATTGTGTCACAAGACGGGAATTGCTTGCTGTGGTAAAGTCCTTGCAGCATTTTAGCAAATATCTTCTGGGGTAAAAATTCCACTCACGAACTGACCATACTGCACTGAAATGGCTATTTTAGTTCAAAACTCCGGAAGGACAAGTTGCGAGATGGATTGAACTACTGCATGAATACGACTTTGTGATCGAACATCGCAGCGGGAAATCTCATGACAATGTAGATGCATTGTCAAACAGACCTTGCCCCTGAAGATTGCAAGCATTGTACTAGGCAAGAGGGCAAGGAAATGGTATCTGTAAGGATACTCAGGCCAGACCAGCTCAGCAATGAGTGAAAGGACAGCCTACAACATGCACAGCAGGAAGGTTCGGACATTAAGCCGATTCTAGAATGAATGAAGGCCAATGCTCCTAAGCTCAAGTGGAGCGACGTCGCAGCGATGAGTTCGTCCACGAAAAGCTATTGGGCCCAATGGGACAGCTTGCTGATTCAGAACGGAGTCCTGTGCCGTAAATGGAAAAATACTCGGGGAGGCAGTTGTCATTTGCAAATGGTTATCCCTAAGGCTAAAGTACCGGATGTTCTACAGCTGTACCATAGTGGTTGGTCAGGAGGCCACTTGGGAATTAAACGAATCCTACTGAAGATCCGAGAACGGTTTTACTGGGTCCACTGTCGTGACGATGTCGAGGACTGGTGCCGCAAATGTACAAGTTGTGCGGCTGTAAAGGGACCTCAAATTCGTAGTAGAGGCGCATGGAAATTGTACAATGTTGGTGCACCATAGGAGAGGATAGCCATTGACTTTGCGGGGCCCTTTCGGAAAAGTGAAAGTGGTAACAAGTATTTCATGGTTGTGATGGATTACTTCACTAAATGTCCAGAAGTCTTCGCCATTCCAAATCAAGAAGCTTCAACAGTAGCAGATAAACTAGTTCATGAAGTCTTCTGTCGTTTTGGAGTACCCTTAGAGATTCACAGCATTCAAGGAAGGAATTTTGAGTCTCAAATATTCCAGGAAACTTGCCGAGTTATGGGTACTCATAAAACAAGAACAACTTCTTACCACCCACAATCTGATGGAATGGTAGAACGATTTAATCAGAAATTGGAGATGTACCTAGCAAAAGTTGTGAAAAATCGGCAACGAGACTGGGACAGGCACATACAACCGTTTTTGTTGTCATATCGAAGCGCTGTTCACGAAAGTACATCAGTGACACCAACTTTCGCAAACTTTGGGAGAGAATTATGGCTGCCTGCAGACCTGATCACCGGAATACCACCTGATGCCTATATTATAGAATAACCGATTATGCAAATGACTTGCGGAACAAAATGAATGACATTTATGAGCACGTCTGACAGACGGGCCAGCAAATGTCTGAGAAGATGAAAACACGGTATGACCGCAAAATGAACAACAAAGGGTTTCACGAAGGTTCATTAGTGTGGTTAGACAATCCAGTTGGAAGCAAAGGGAAATCTCCTATGCTTCAAGCTAAATGCAACGGACCGTACCGGATTGTGACAAGGATCAATGACGTAACCTATCGGATACAGAAAGGTGGCAGAGGTGCTCCTAAGATCGTCCATGTGGATCGACTGGCGCGTTATTATAGGGCCAAAAATGCTCGGGACGAGCATGTCTTAGGAGCGGGCAGTGTTGCACGCCACTATTAATGTCTTGTACATGGTAACACTAGTTACCACTAGCGCCTTCTAGTGTCGAGTAGCAGAACTAGGAGAGTCAATATCCTTCTAGAAATTTCGGGACCTATATGTACTAGAACATTTTAGATGTCGCTACAGTAGAAGGTTCTAGAAACTATCTGAGGCCCTATATAAAGCTGGTATAGACCACTAACGAGTCAGTATTGAATTGACGATATAAGCGAATACTTCGAAGCGAAATAACTGCGAATAAAAGTGATCAGTAGTACAATTTTGTTTCGTTATGTGTGTGGTTTTAAGTTGTAATTAGTGTTTTGTAATTAAAGTGTCAATTTTGGTAATTCAATCGGCAGTTTTTAATTGTCTCGAACCCTAAACCCTAACCTCGTAACATAATTATAATTAAATGTAATAAAACTTAAAAAAAAAAGTCTTGAACTTGTATACAAAATACGAAGGAAATTTTTCCCCGATCTTATATACTAAGTAAAGGTGAAACAAAATAGTACTTGATAACCTAGGGAATGATTCTGCCCGTCAACATGAATATTTTTTATTATGGGATCATCTTCGAAATTTTTAAATTATACGTGGTAGATCCATACTTCAGCTATATTACAGGTATAGTTGTAGCACGAGTGGGTCAACTCGACTGCGGAAGGACCACGCTCTCACAGAATAGCAGTGTAAAATAGCAGCTTAACGCGGCTGTGTTTCGTATGGTGAGTGTAGAAAACCAGAGACCCTTTACTGGAAACGAGGCATTCCATCTTAGTCTTAGTTAGATTCTTAATCGAGGATAGATGTAAATGTTTATCGACCACAATAACCACTTACCATCAGGTGGACTGTGTGCTCGTTTGTCACCCTGATCCTATAAAGAAAATCTTAAAGTCAGTTATTCCATACAAAATTTCGTACAAACTTGTTTAAAATGTATGGAAGATCTTAATTTTTCCTACGATTACGAAGATAGATCTATAGTAAAAGTTGTTCATATTGTCGCGTAGAATTGAAATAGAAAGCACTATTTTGATTACATCATAAATATATATAACTATTTTTTAAGCAATTTTTGAATATTAGTTAGACATGTAAATAAAAAATTTAAACTGATAAAAATGAGGCCTTATCATTTATATGTCATTTATTCAGAAGAAAAACCTATATATAATATGCACAAATATATTGATACATTCGTTATTAATAAATTATTAATTTTTAAGTAATTCTGGAATACATTCACAACTATGAACTTAAACACTAAGCTATATCACAAAATAAATTTTCCCATTAATCGGGTAATAGATAAGCTGCTGGTATATGTAATTTTTCACGCACACTAGCATCCTTGCAAATTGTCTTATACACACTACAATATTGAGATGCCACATTCACGGAGCTGTCACTTTCAGGTAGCGCGGTATCTAGTCAGAGAGCGAGATGGATTATCAATAATCTAAGCGTAATTCATTAAATTTTAAGGTTTGTATATAAAGAAATCTGTATTTCACTTTCAACTGTACATTAATATATGTACATATAAAACATTGATATCTAATATACAAAATATAATATTATGAACCTTTTTTTGCCTATACATACACACACTTCACACACTATTTGAAAAGGAACATTTGACACAAAATTGTAAAAGCTCATTCAGTTATGTAGGCTGCCAGAAAATTTTATTGGCAATTTGTTAAATTCTTTGGTTACAATTTCTACTCCATGCGACTGTAAAACCATAGAATGTTAAGTTTTTGACGTTGGTCTTATAGTAATAAATGTATATAGACATTGACAGTTTGAACGTCAACAAATGACGTTACTTGCCCTAGTGACAATTATGTGTTTGACAAATTAGAAAATATATAATATACTCGTAAAATCAGTGAGGCAACCGACAAAACAAACAAATGTTGTTTATGATTAAGGTCTTTGTAATTTGCTTATCCACGATAGTCTGTGTCTTCTATTAGCTCTTCAAAGTTACTTAAAAAACTTTTAGTACTTAATTAGTTCTTAGTTAGATGCAGTTTCAACAATAATTTCTTACGGTATATTTTCTTTTATGTTTTGCGGACGTCGAATTGTACCTGTGCGAAGCCGGAATATTATCATTATACTTTAATACGATATTGTCTATGGCCATTCATTTAGTTATTGACCTATTTTTAATTTAATAATCAATATCATCATACTGATTTCTAGATAAAGCTAAAAAGAAAACTTCTCTCTCAGCAAGGACATTTGAAGTACAGCTTGCAAATTTGCTCTCGAATGCGCTGCTCGAAAGTGAATTGGCATCCAGTACGTGTCTCACAATTTCTCATGAGTGTACGGATCTCTAACAACATTTGCAGGAAAAAATATCTAAAGAAAAATTTCAAATTAATATAATAAATCTTTACCCCCCAATCTTAATTTTACAAGGACGAGCACCCTGTCGACTTATAAACGAGAATCTAGTAAATAATAAAACGATAACATTCCAACATGTAATAACCAATTTTCTTAACTATGCGAGGGTATCAGCTTTGCTCTCATTAACCTTGTTTCCGTCCTTACTATATATATAGGAATAGGTAAATCTTTATGCACTTGCTGAAATATATGAATATAGGCTAATTTTTGAAAAGCTTATACGAAGCAGTGAAATAAGTAAGGTTGCTAAATAAAATAAATTACATACGTACCTTAGAACCTCACAATATCAGTAGTGGTTACCAGATAATCAGCATTATCAGTACAGCCTATTAATGTCAGCTTCTGAACATAGGCCTCGCCTTAGATTGACTCGTTATTTCCTAATAGTCATCGCTGCCAATTTCCTGCTTTGATTTGCTGTTTCACCTCTTACGACACCCACGGGACGATATAGGTTGGTCAATATTCTAACACCGCCTCTACAATGTCTGATGAATTTATATCAATAAACTGTATAGTATTCGTTGAATAAATATTCAATGGAATTTTTCAATTTAGGTGGCTACTTAAATATAATGCTTGATCCCAACCAATGCCTGGGGTGTAGTCATAAATGTGAAATATGGCCGCTCTAATGGGATTTTAATACAATAGATCCCGCTTCGCGTCGTTTGGGACATGCAAATTGCTTTGGTAATTATATCAAAAGAAAATTTTAAAGACGCATAAGTGACTCCTTAATTGCTTTAATACGGTGAAGCATTTTCAGTTAAGAATTTGTAAGCCTGTATTAATACAATATTTTTTGTAAGCACCACGCACACAACTCTCACTCCACTGGCGATAAATGTACCATGTTAGAATGAATAAATACATATAAACATTTCTTATTTAAATAAAATTATTTTGAAGGATTTTATCGCGTATATTAACTTACTTTATATTCCTGACGTTTTAAGTACTTTACAGCACCCATGGTCACGGGTGGACTGGGAAATATAAAATAAGTTAAATACGCAATAAAATACGTAATACTAGTTTTATTAAAATGTAGTATTCAAGTAAATATAAGTAAAATATTCTTAGCAAATTTTCAAGTAAATACAATATATTACCAAAACAAATCATCATCATCATTACAACCCTTCACAAGTCCACTGCTGAACATAGTTCTCTCCCAATGAATGCCACAAATCAGGGCCCTGAGCCACCTGCATCCATCAACATCCTGCATGTCTTACCAGGTTGTCACTCTATAAAGTAAATAGTCGCCCTACACTTCTCCTGCCGGTACGAGGCTGCCACTCGAGAACCTTTTTTCATCATCGGTTGTCGGTTCTTCGAGCTATATGGCCGGCTCACTTCATCTTACTAATCTATTGGGCTATGTCAGTCTACTGCGGATATCCTTATTTCTAAGTTTATAGCTCACTGAGTGACCTTGAGCGTACTCATACGGCCACCAGTGAAGGACCACGTCTCAGATCCATAAGCCATCACTGGCAAAACGCACTGGTTGTGCAATCAAGTATTGAGATTTTGAGATATACCCGACGACAAGATGTGTCTTAATCTTTACGTAGTGAGACTATTTATCCCAGGTAAACATACTCGTCAACAACTTAGAGCTTAGTGTTCCCTATATTTAACGAGTATGTTAGGGCTGAATCTAAACGTCAGTGTGATAAGAGAAGACTGTGGGTTGGCAAGATGATGTTGTGATCAGAATTAAGAAAGGAACACTTCGGTGGTTTGGTCATGTAAGAAAGAAAGAATGGACGAGGAAAGAGTGACAAAGCAAATTTATGATGCAGAAGTGAACGGCAGTGTCGCGAAGGGACGCCCAAGGCGAAGTTTTATCGACGAAATTGGCGATATATTGATAATGAGTCAGGAAGAAGTACCCTTAACCGAAGAACATGTACAGGTGTTTCAGCATCACTTGAAAGCAGCGTACCGTTTATGCTTCTTTGTTACCTACCTTTCTCTCAACTTTTCTTTGTTACTGGCATAGGTGTAACATGGACGATAAACATGACTTTTGTTTTGTCCATGTTCATCTTAAGACCTGTCAGTTGGGGGATACTATTGAGGTTATTGAGCATAGTATTGAAATCCACTAGCAATTCCTTCATAAGAACTGTATCCTCAGCAAATTGAAGGTTAGTGATGTACTCGCCATTGATGTTAATACCGTATCCTTTC